GTCTCATGGGAATAGAGCACAGCTATTTGTCCAGCTCTACAGTTTGGAGAAAGGGACCTGGGGATTCCACTAACTTTACATTCACTGTTTCAGACAACTCTCTTCCTCCAGCCCCACACATCTCCCCTGTGCATTGCTTGCCTCCACTCTAAATGCTTAACGTGGAACCTCTCCAGGGTTCCATGTGAAAGGACCAACGACCCACCAGAATGGCATAAAGATTACATCAAACTGAAAATATCTGAGCTACACGTCCAGAAAGAAATCTTTTCTGAACTTCTCCTATTGACTAAAGCAGAGATTTACAAGAGCCGTCTGCCACAAGTGCCCCCCTCTCACCTCCCTCCTCACCTCTCCAGGGAAGTCTCCAATGGGGGGGGAAGGGAGCGGGGGGAGGGGCAGCTGACCTTGGGCAGTGGCACATTTCAAACCTAATTTGTGTAAACAAACCTCATCAGAACCTCCCACCCTTTGAAGGCCTAAACCACCCCCCTTATTAAGCTAGTATGTAAATCCTAATCCCTAGCTGTTCAGAGAGCTACTCCCTATAGAGTACTCCTGCATGCATGAGTAATAAACTTTTCTCCTGTTAATCTTTCAGGAGATTAACAATCAAACCTCAGTTGATAGAGGAAAAGATTTTCCTCCCAACAGTTTTGGCAACGAGGATTGAATGGTCAGAAATCTTCGCTCACTCTGGAGACCACAGCTGAGCTCTTAGGATCTCTGACCAAGCTGGCAAAATTAAACTTTCTTACCATCAGACTCCCAGATCTCTGCTTGGGGTCCAGTTGAGCAAAAGTGGTAAGAGCCTCTCATCTTCTCAGAAAGAAAGTTTCCAAAATTTAGATTTACAGGAGAAAATGTTTGGGTTAGAACTCGTCTTGTTCTTTGGGTATTATGACTCTTGGTTTGGATCTTCCAATAAATAGTCATTGTGCTATCTTCTTGTCACTTTCTTTTTTGCTGTTGTTTTGTGCTGTGATGTCTAAAAGTGTTGCTTGTCATAA